GTAAGATTTGAGTTTTCAAAGTGTACAGATTACTGACTGAACTGTCTGTATGTCTGTTTTAAACACTCACTCAGTGACTAAAGCACACATGGAGACAGTAGAGACTTGCCCTGTTAAATTATCTGTGGGGCTCTGCTGCCCTCTGGTGGTCATTTCATCAAACAGTCTCATCTTGAGCTGCTTACACTGCAGAAACTCAAATGTAAGCAAGTATATTTAATCAATTTCTTGTCAATCACACATAAATACTTTTATTGTAAGTTCCATTCCCCTGACAGTCCAGATAAACATTGTACTTGAAGTAAAATAAAAACAAAAATGAATTCCCTATAACAAGTAAAACTATCTGCCAATGCAGAAGGCAACAAATGACTAAAATGAGATATTCTAACTTTTAAATGATGCATCTCATTTCAAGAGACTTAAAGGAAGAATTTACGACATGTTCCACATAAATAAATCATAAATCCAGTCTCTCCTGTGTAAATGTGTCTCTGAGTCATGACTGTCTACAGTGAGGGAGAAGCTCGAGTCCCGCTGGCTGTGTTGTTGTCAGAGCCGTGTTTACATGGACGGGACGGCCGGCTCCTCCCCTTGTGTATAAAAGCTGTTTTAGTCAAGAACTAGAGAGAAGGAGAAGAACATACTCACTGATTATTTGGATGTTAGGTAATAGTTTTTAGATCACGGTTATTCTGTGTCAGTTTACATGCAATATGAAGCTACGAGCTAGCATTAGCATGCTAACACAACAATGCAGGCCACAGGTGATTGCAGCTCGAGCAGAGGACAATTTTGTCTGCCGTGCTCCTCCCTACCTTCATACCTCTCCTCTCCTCTCTCCTCCCGCTCTCCCCCTCCCTCCTTTTCTGTTTTTTACATCTTGAAATGAGTTGTTTATCTGAATCCGTGAATTGTTGTTAAAAATAAGCATAATTCGATATTTATTCAACAAATTAACTTGCTTTGGTTAGAGTTTTTGCAGTGTGGGTTTGTCTCAGCTTTCTCCTGCACTCAGAAACATACCTGTGACTATTGAACTATTTTAGGTGCAGCATTGGAGGCAGAAAAGATAAATAAATGCTTTTCAATAACACAAACTTCATGTCGATTCTTGTCAAAGCAAGTACAAAAAATGCAGACACGCCCTGGATTGTGTCCCAAGTTTCATAAAACCCCAGGACTGACGGGGAGCTGCATCATTTCTCCCATTGTTCGATCGACACACTGAAGTGGAAAGTGTCCTTAAGTCGACCTGAAGCGAGTTCAGGTAAGAGTCTGTGAATGTTTTAATGAACAGGATCATTTTAGCACATTGTCTCTGAATGTTTATAGTTTTGGCTTCTTCAGATTTTCAGAGAGGATTCTGATTCTTAAGTGTTTCTTTCTGTGTAACATGAGAGTGTTTAAAGTGTGATTTTCATGAACCACTGTAAGTATAGTTTCTAAGGAGAACAAAGAGCAGACTGATTGTCAAGTAAGTGTTTTTAGATCACAGTCATTCTGTGTCAATTTATATGCACCGTGAAGCTATGAGCTAACGTGATAACATTAGCATGCTAACACAACAATGCAGGACACAAGTGATTACAGCTCGAGCCAAGGCGCTCCCTCCCTCTCTTCTCTCTCTCCTCCACCCTCCCGATCTCATCTTCCTGTCCTTCCTCTCTCCTCCCTATCTCATCCCTCAACATATTAAATTTGACTAAAGCACTTGCTTTGGTTAGAGTTTTTTCAGTGTGGGTTTGTCTCAGCTTCCTCCTGCATTCCACAGAAACAGACCTGTGACTGTTGAACTGTTTTAGGTGCAGCATTGGACGCAGAAAGGATAAATACATGCTTTTTAATCACACAAACTTCATGTTGATTCTTGTCAAAGCAAGTACAAATAGTGCAGACACGCCCCGGATTGTGTTACAGGTCAGACCATTTCTGAAGTCACGTTGCTCCTTTATTAGATTTGAACTTTAGCTTCAGATCAGATTCATAAAAACAGCAGGACTGATGAGCCAGAATGAGCTGCGTCTTTTCTCCCAGTCCTCGATCGACACATTGAAGTGGAAACTGTCCTTAAGTCGACCTGAAGCGAGTTCAGACAAGAGTCTGTGAAGGTTTTATTGAACAGGATCACTTTTAGCACATTGTGTCTGATTGATTTATTTCTGGATTCTTCAGATTTTCAGAGAGGATTCTAATTCTTAAGTGTTTCTTTCTGTGTTACATGAGATTGTTCACAGTGTAATTTTCATGAACCACAGATAGTATTGTATATACTGTAGGCGTATGTTAACACAACACAGTTTAGTTTCATGTTTTCTCATTTTTTTAAATACACAAAAAACAAATACTAAGTGCAGGAAGAGGGAGAAAACTCCATGTAGTGTTGTAGTTTAGACCACAAGACCAAGACATACCCGAGACTGAAATGCTCCAAGATCGAGACAAGACCAAGACCAAGGCAGGACGAGACCATAACAATAAATGAAAAATCATCATCTTCTGTGTCACTCACTTAGACCGTAACACGAAACAGGCCGTAACAGGTCGGACTCAAACCGGGGACCCCGCCTAAAGGGCTGTAGCCTTGGTACATGGGGTTTTACCTAACAACAAGGCCAGTGATCTGGTGGGCCACATTGGCCCACCAAATCTTCCCATCCGACCACCAGAATACTTATCATCTCGGGTTAATAAACAGTAAACATGAATTTAAAATCACAAGTTTTAAATACTCGCATTAGGTCAATGTAAAAAATTACATTTCCTCTCTGACGCTGACTTCTTCACATCGGGCTTGACAGCTGTCAGGCAACTACAAATGTAGTTGATGGCCCCTGCACTAAGCCATCAGCGGACTGAGAACTATTGTGTCGTACGTGTAAACCTTGTTGTAGTGACGTTGTGTGGATCTCTCTGCAGGTTTGAGCTCTGTGATGGATCAGTGTGAGAACGAAGAGGAGGGAGACGGTCCCTCTAAAACCAACCTGCATCAGGAACATGAAGCTCAGAGGTGAAATGGTGATCTAATACTGGCTGTGACTTTTCTCCATGTCAGGGAGAAGCTCTTATTCACACTCTAAGCTCTGTGTGTGTGTGTGTGTGTGTGTGTGTGTGTGTGTGTGTGTGTGTGTGTGTGTGTGTGTGTGTGTGTGTGTGTGTGTGTGTGTGTGTGTGTGTGTGTGTGTGTGTGTGTGTTAAAGCCCAGAGCAGCAGTACGCACCAGACTCACCTGGACCTGGATCTGCAGCCAGCTGTGTGTCCCTGAAGAGTGCTCGGTCCATGACTCCACCTCCAGATTTTAAACAACCAGAGACAGAGTGAGTCCACACAGACTGTCACTGTACAGTCAAAACATGTTCAGACTCCCAACTAGTCAAATAAGACAAACAGGAGCACCTTTGGTATCCCTGGAAATACCGGTCTCATCTAGACAGTATGGCTTCTGGGGCAGACACAAGCTGAAATCTGCTCCAACAACTTGTCTAAAAATGAAGTACATCATTTAACATTATGCTCCTGTTCACATGGGTGGCAAACGTTTTTCTGGTAACACTTGTTTTGAATTGGGGCTATACAAATAATGATTGATTGATTGATGGAATCTGATGCCTTTCTGTCTCGGTTGTCTTTTGATGTCGATGTATTCTTTATTTTTATTCTGCAGTGCGTTGGAGTGGTCAAAAAGCTCAAAAAGAGTCACTTCCCTTTAAATTCAATGTCCTTTTTTTCCCATGCTCCGTGTAGGTGTTTTCTTTAGTACGAAAGCTGGAAAGTTTCACAACAATTGATCTTGGTGGGTCCATCAGATTTGTCGATTTTTTCTGAAGTGACCTGTGGGCTCATTCTATCCCCAGATTCATTTTGGGGGGCAAGTGTAAATGTTCTTTGATGAACGGGTCAAAAAAGTTGAATATATCTCCATTCTCTGTATCTTCAATCACGCCATAGATCCTCAGGTTGTTTCATCTCTCTCGATTTTCCAAATCTTGACATTTCTCCTGAAGGTATGATTACTTTAATTGCAATGGAAAAGACATCAACTTTTCTATAACGGGGCTGCGGTCCTCTGAAGTTCCTGTCTGACTCTTAGCTCCTTCGAGTCTACTATCAAGTTTTTCTTACTGTTTCATTCAGTGTTGTTACTTTCTCTTCCAATCGCTCAAATCCATTTTTCATTTCATCTCGAAGTTCAGCAAACATTTTTTTCATATCAGTCAGAGCTGTGTCTGGATCCATGTTTCTTCCCTTTTCTCCCATCTGTTTACTGGTTGTTACTTCACTCATGCGGATCGGCTTTCTTTGGGTTTACACACATATATTATTTCCAACAAAACTTATTTTAGAAAGCACATCGGTTTGTTTAATTGTTTGACAGCTTGGAAAGCTTAGCTAATCACCCATGCCTTGCCACATGACCCGGAAGTTTGTGTGTGGGTGTGTGTTTATTAAAAGCCCAAAGCAGCAGTACACACCAGACTCTCCTGAACCTGGATCTGCAGCCAGCTGTGTGTTCATGAAGAGTGCTCGGTCCATGAATCCACCACCAGATTTTAAACAGCCAGAGACAGAGTGAGTCCACAAAGACTGTCACTGTACAGTTGCTGTGAGCCCTTAGGGGCCTGTTGACAAGCAGCTTCTCTGACCACCACCACCCCTCTAGCATCCACCTGTAGGCTTCGACTGGGGGGTTTAATATATCATCCCATACTTCCTCAAATTTCTGCATGTAAAATAAAACTGTGAGGAGTGATACGATCGTAGCCTAGACGCCAAACAGAAACGATGTTCTGCAGCAATAAATATTTGAAACATTACAAACATGGTTTGTCATACTGAACTGTATGTTCTGTGTAATATGAAGCTGTATAATGATATAAAAAACAACATCTATAGTCATCAAACACAAATTTTGTCCACCGTTTTGTATTTTATCTGGAGACGATCTGATCAAATGTAATTATTTGTCAAGTTGAAACTTGTTTGTTCATCATTTTTACAGGATGCAGCAGCAGAGACCGGACAGTCCTGAACTGATCCATGTGTCCATTAAAAGTGACCAGTCTATGGTTGATCCTCTTAGCTTTGACAACAAAGGGTAAGTATTATAGAACTGACTGATGTTTGTTATTATCTGACTCCGCTGAGGAAAGAACATAAATATTTTTGTGTCTTTGGAAAAGCTCCTTCCAATAACCACAACAGCAGATGACATGAATGTATGTTAGCCAAACATTTGGAAGGTCTGATACTCGGTTATCAGTTTAGAAATATTTCAATTAACCATTTTTCAGATTTCAATAAGGAAATCCCCAAAACCTTATGTTTTCTCCACAGAGTACAGCAGAAAGACTCAGAGGTTCTTGGCGATCAGTCCACCCAGCGACATCAAGCAGACCTGGACTCCATAATAATGGTGTGTACATGTAATAGTAATAATTGTTTACATTTACATGACCATTATCAAAACAGAGTGATAATGTGACATTCAAGGTAAAGGACATGTGAAACATTATGTAGTATTCCAGAACTCATGTATATAACTAAGCCCTGGCATCATGAGGAGTTATTTTGTTTATGAAAGAAACTTCAGTTGTTTGAGACCGAGACTCACAAGGGAGCGGTTTAAGTTTGTGAAGAACTAGGGCCTGGCCAATTTTTTCCTTCACATTAATTAAAAGCATTTTTGGCTCCATATATTCATTGTACAAGAGTAACCCTTAATGAGAGATGCTCTATCAAACATTTGGTAAGAAAAGGTGACATGAAGTGGGTTGAGTTGTGTTTTCCTACGGATTAAACATCGCTTTCCACCGTGAAAGGCATTACTTTGATTAAGAAAAGCTTCATTTAGATATGGATGGATAGATGGATGGATGGATGGAAATAATGAAAATACAGACAGACGGATTTATGGGCCGATAGATGGATGAATGGATGAATGAATAGATGGGTGGGTTGGTGGATGGATGGTTTGACAGATGGATGGATGGATGGACGGATGGATGGATGGTCCTAACAGTCTCCATGCTGGTCAGCAAGGTCTTCAGACTGACACTTTTATTACATTTGTGTAACTTCGTTTAAATTAAACATTCAATTTATCAATCTGTTCCAGCTGCTTGAGGAGAGCATCATCACTTTTGTTAGGAACGAGTTGAAGAGAGTTAAGAGGATTCTGTCATCAAATGACCCAGGATGCTTACAGAATATGGAAGAGGAGAAGCTGATCAGCAATGAAGAAGAGCAGGTGGGGGTCAGCAGAGAGGCATTTCTGAAGATCACGCTGCAATTCCTGAAGAGAATGAAACAGGAGGAACTAGCTTACTGCCTGCAGAGCAGTAAGTGTTTTTTCAAAGCTTTAACTAATTTAAAAAGAAGTTTAATACATCAAGGTTTAGAGGTTTACATGTCTAAATTCTGCAGTAAATATACTGCACACATCTGCATTACCTCAAAGCTTGTCTGTCTTACACCAATAAGCTTAATTATAATTATACATAAGGAAGAAATGTTGAGACACTCTTAAATATGTAGAAACCCTGAGTTGCTGAGGATCCACTTACTTATTTCTTGTTTGTTTAGGAACTCAGAGCAAAGGAACTGCAGATTGCAGAAATAAACTGAAGTCTAATCTGAAGGAGAAGTTTCAGTGTGTGTTTGAGGGGGTTGCTAAAGCAGGAAACCCAACTCTCCTGAATCAGATCTACACAGAGATCTACATCACAGAAGGAGAGTCTGGAGAGGTCAATAATGAACATGAGGTCAGACAGATTGAAACAGCATCCAGGAAACAGAACCAACCTGAAACCATGATCACACTTGTAGACATCTTTAAACCCTCACCTGGACGAGAAGAACCAATCAGAACAGTGATGACTAAAGGAGTTGCTGGGATTGGGAAGACAGTCTTAACACAGAAGTTCACTCTGGACTGGGCTGAAAACAAAGCCAATAAGGACATACACTTCACATTTCCATTCACTTTCAGAGAACTGAATGTGCTGAAAGAACAAAAGTACAGTTTGGTGGAACTCATTCATCACTTTTTTACTGAAACCAAGGAAGATGGAATCTGCAGGTTTGAAGATTTTAAGGTCGTGTTCATCTTTGATGGTCTGGATGAGTGTCGACTTCCTCTGGACTTCCGCAACAATGAGATCCTGACTGATGTTGCAAAATGCACCTCAGTGGATGTGCTGCTGACAAACCTAATGAGGGGGAAACTGCTTCCCTCTGCTCAGCTTTGGATAACCACACGACCAGCTGCATCCAGTCAGATCCCTCCTGAGTGTGTTGACAGGGTAACAGAGATCAGAGGGTTTAATGACCCACAGAAGGAGGAGTACATCAGGAAGAGATTCAAAGACGAGGAGCAGGCCAGCACAATCACCTCCCACATCAAGAAATCCCGAAGCCTCTACATAATGTGCCACATCCCGGTCTTCTGCTGGATCACTGCTACAGTTCTGGAGGATGTTCTGAAGACAAGAGAGCCAGGAGAGCTGCCCAAGACCCTCACTGAGATGTACATTCACTTCCTGGTGGTTCAGTCCAAAGTGAAGAACATCAAGTATGACGGAGGAGCTGAGACTGATCCACACTGGAATAAAAATAACATAGATATGATTTTGTCTCTGGGAAAATTGGCTTTTGAGCAGCTGCAGAAAGGCAACTTGATCTTCTATGAATCAGACCTTGAAGAGAGTGAGATTGATATTAAAGCTGCCTCGGTGTGCTCAGGAGTCTTCACACAGATCTTTAAAGAGGAGAGAGGACTGTACCAGGAAAAGGTGTTCTGCTTCATTCATCTCAGCATTCAAGAGTTTCTGGCTGCTCTTCATGTCCATCTGACATTCATCACCTCTGGTGTTAATCTTCTGTCAGAAGAAGAACAGACACAATCCTGGTTGTCTCAGGTTTCAGTTGACAAATCGACAAGTTTCTACCAGAGTGCAGTCGATAAGGCCTTGGAAAGTCCAAATGGACACCTGGATTTGTTCCTCCGCTTCCTTCTCGGTCTTTCAGTAGAGACAAATCAGAAACATCTCAAATTTCTGCTTACAAAGACAGGACATGGCTCACAGATCAAAAAGAAAACAGTTCAATACATAAAGATGAAGATCAGTGATAATTTGTCTCTGGAGAAAAGCATCAATCTGTTCCACTGTCTGAATGAACTCAATGACAGTTCTCTAGCAGAGGTTATCCAAGAGTGCCTGAGATCAAGACCTCTCAATACTGATGAACTAAGTCATGCTCATTGTTCAGCCCTCGTGTTCATGTTACTGTCACCAGAAAAAGACCTGGATGTGTTTGACCTGCAGAAATACTCTGTTTCAGAGCAGACTTTTCTGAGGCTGCTGCCAGTGGTCAAAGCCTCCAACAAAGCTTTGTATGTGCATTCATAAATATCCACATCGAATGCATTTTGTTTTTATTTGACAAGCAATAATGTAATTTAGCACATACTTTCTGTGTTTCCTGATCATGTTAAGACTGAGTAGCTGTGACCTGACAGAAAGAAGCTGTGAAGCCCTGTCTTCAGTTATCAGCTCCCAGTCATCTAACTTGAGAGAGCTGGACCTAAGTAACAACAACCTGTACAACTTGGGGGTGAAGTTGATGTCTGCTGGACTAAATACTCCAAATTGCAAACTAGCTGTACTCAGGCAAGTGTTCAACTTTTTGAAATGATAATCTGGATTTCTATATTAATTATTGAAGGAACCTTCTGAAAATATGTTTCAGGTTCAGTGGTTGCGCACTGTCTCATAAAAGCTGTGAGGACCTGTCTACGGTTTTCATCTCTCAGCCATCTACTCTGAGAGAGCTGGACCTGAGTAACAACAACCTGCAGGATTCAGGGATGAAGACACTCTCAGCAGGACTAAGGAGTCCAAACTGTACATTGGAAACTCTCAGGTCAGGAGTCAGCTATTAGTTCATTTTTATCCAGAATCTTCTTGATTGACATGTTTTACCTCTAAATGAACTGACTGACGATCCTTTTCAGATTGAGGGACTGCAAACTGTCTGCAAAAAGCTGTGCAGCTCTGTCTTCAGTTCTTAGCTCCCAGTCCTCTAACCTGAGAGAACTGGACCTGGATGACAACAACCTGCTGGATTCAGGAGTGGAGCTGCTGTCTGCTGGACTGGAGAGTCTAACCTGTAAACTGGAAATTTTAAGGTAAGGGTTCAACTGGTTAAAAGAGCAATCAATGTTAATTTCATCATTGAAAATGGAAAGGATTTGTTAAATATTACGGAAATATTGTGTCATACAATATGTAAATCAATATATATTTATTTAGAATACTATTACTTAATTGTATGGGTTAGGGCAATGGTTCCCCTAAATAACTCGAAATATCTGTGTTTGTGCATGTGTGTGTGTGTGTGTGTGTGTGTGTGTGTGTGTTTATTTAGATTGTCAGGCTGTTTAGTCAAAGAGGAAGGATGTTTATCTCTGGCTTCGGCTCTGAGCTACAACCCCTCCCATCTGAGAATGTTGGACCTGAGCTACAATCAACCATCGGAGTCAGGAGTGGAGCAGCTGTGTGCTGGACTGGATGATCCATGCTGGAAATTAGACAGCCTCAAGTATGGACTTAAAGAGAGACAAAAGCTGCTTATAAACCATTTCTCTGTTTGTCTGACTTAACAGTGTTCTGTACTTTATATTGAATGGTAGATGTACAACAACCATAGTTGTATGAGGTTGTTTGTGACTTTGTTTCTGCTTCCAGGGTGGACTACGGTGGACTGCAGAGACTTAAACCTGATATCAAAAAGTGTAAGTATGTCAAAGACTATTACATTGTGAAATATGCATATATTTTCTTACTTCTTTTTACTCATGCAAATGGTCTGTAATGATTACATGCAGCTCTTTCAATTATAGGCTAAACCAAGCCATGGTCCTCTACAATTACATATAGGCCCATAGGTTATGCCTCCAACTCTCTGCTTTCTTATCCAGGGGTTTTTTAAGCCCCACATATATGTGGGTTGTTATCACACAATGAAACCCTTACAGGGTGAGCAGGACCCTGATGTTAAGCTAGTTCCATAACATAAACGAAGTGTTTCCAATGATAAACTGTGAACACAGCTAATTTTAAGAAGCAGATGGGACTTGGAATGGTGTGTGGGCACTGCAGTGTGTGACTGCCTTTTTTTGTCCATTTAAATGTACGTGTTTTATAACTGCATGCACTGAACCATGCACATTTATATAAATAAGTATATATATATATATATATATATATATATAGATATAGATATATATATATATATATATATATATATATACATATATACATATATACATGACTGATCTGGATAGGGCCATAGGACCACTTCAAGCTGGAGATCCGCACAACCACGTTGAAGCATTATTTGGAATAAACCTTAGTACTAAGGGGGGATGTCAGAGACAGGTCACGAAGTTGGCTGCCCAAGAAGAAGACACCCCAAGAAGACCGTTTCCTAACCCTGTCAGCTCTTAGGAACTGTAGGCAGTCTTCTACAGATTTGAAGTCAAGGTTTGCAGGACGATATGGCCAATGGCTCTCTACCCAGACAATCCAGAGCAGATTGCACACAGCCAATCTCTGATCTCATAGGGCTGGAGGCCTGCTGTGACTGCCCTTCACCATCAGGTCCGTTTGTGTTAGTATCAGCAAAACGTGCCCTGGAACCTGAAAATTCGGATTAACGTTATGTTCAGCGATGAGTCCAGATTCTGCCTATGGCAAGTTGGATTGTAGAGTCAAAGTGTGGAGAAGCAGTGGAGAATGCTATTCTGATTGCTGTACCGATAGGGTAATAGCTTTTGGTGGAGGCAGTGTGATGGTGTGGGGAAAACTTGAAAAACAATGCTTGTCATCATTAGAGGTAAAGACAGATATCTAGATGAGATTCTGCAACTAGTGGCAATCTCCACAGTCTGGGACCGAACTCTATCCTCCAAGATGACAACGCTCACCCCCACAGAGCGGGGTTTATCAGAGACTACCTCCATAATTTTGGAGTAGAGAGGATGGAATGGCCTGTCTGCAGTCCTGACCTCAACCCCATTCAACACTTATGGGATCAAATTGGGCATGCTGTTTATGCCAGAGTGACAAACACAACCACATTGGCTTTTTTGTGACAAATGCTGGTTGAAGAATGGAGTGCCATCCCACTACAGTGTGTGATCAGGCTGGCGATCAGCAAGAGGAGGAGATGCCGGGCTGTTGTGGCTGTGTATGGTTCTTCCACACGCTACTGAGGCTCCTGTTTGTTATATGAATGAATCGTTAAATTGCCAATATATCTTGTTTCTTCAGACTTCAATCATCCAATTTACTAAATGACACCAAACAAGAGTCAACAGCAGAATAAACTGTTTGGCATTGGCAGAGACGATTTGTTTAGTTTTTCATGGGCCCAACCCAAATACTCAGCTCTGCTGCTCATCCCACAAATGCATGTTCCTTACAAATTATTCATTTCATTTCAAACCTTTAATTATTCTCTAAAGAACACTGAGGTTTCCCTTATTTCCAATGCCGTCGAGATTTCAAGCACAGTAAAGCAAGCAGAAACAAAACAACCACTCAGAATCAGTGACAAAAACCACTGAGATCCATTAAAAACATTTTTTTTTATTTCAAACAAAGTGGCTAGAAACTCTGCCACTTCCTAAACTCGGGAAGAGAGGGAAGAACTCTGATGATTAGAGTTAGCTGGAGAGCGTTCCACGAGTTTGGGGCCTCAAAAGAAAATACAGATTTACTGAGTTCAGTAAAAGCTCAAGGGACTTTAAGAACAAGCCATTCAGAAGAACGAGTCATGTAGGTGCTCGAATTCCACTTCAACAGGTCTGTGATGTAAGGTGGAAGTTAAGCATTAAGAGCCTTAAACATACAGTATATAAAAACAAAGTTTGTTGCGACTCTCTTCACGAGAAGGCCAACCAACCTTCTCATACAGCTCATAGTGATTCATGCCAAATCTATCACCAGTTATAAACCTGAGGGCAGAGTAATAGATGGCATCCAGAGGCTTTAGTGTTGAAGCTGCAGTAAGTCTATAAATGACATCACCATAATCCATCACTGATAAGAATACAGCTTCAACAATTATTATTCTGAACGATAATGGAAAGTTTGATTTGTTTCTGTACATAAAGCAGTCTTTCTGTCGCCACTTGGATACAAGAGTTTCAACATGGAACTTAAAAGTAAATTACTCATTGAGCCACATGCCAACATATTTATGCTAATTTATTCTCTCAATTTCAGAGCCACTTAAATAAGATATGTGTCCCCTCTCATAATCAATATTTTTGGCTCTGGAGAATAGCATACATTTTGTTTTAATCTCATTAAGTAGCAGTTTTTGGCTAATGAGATATTCTTGGACAGAATTAATAAGCAAGTTGCATGTTCTTGATAGCTAACTGTACAGCAGATTACAATACAGAACAATATAAAATAATGTCGTCTGCATAGAGATGGGTATGACAACCATTCAAAGAAAAAACAATGTCATTATAATGTAAAAAAACTGTGAAGAGCATGGGACCCAAGACTGAAACTTGTGGCACACCTCTGTTAAAGGCTTAATATGCATTTTTTTGATCCAGCAGATGTCGCCCTTTAGCACCAGCCTGAAACCAAAACGACTCGTGCTACATTGTTGTGTTAGCATGCTAATGCTAGCGATCTTTATTATGCTCGTATCTTCACACTGCATGTAAATTTACACAAAATGACCCTGATATAGAAACGCTTACGCGACATTCAATGAAGCAGTGAGTAAAGTATGTTATTCTTCTTTTCTCTAGTCCCTCAATTAAACAACTTTTGTACGCGAGGGGATGAGCAGGCCAGCCGTCCCGGCGATGTAAACAAAGTAAAGCTACGGCTAGGAAAACTCGGAAAACATCAGAGATAGTGGGACTCGGGTGTTACACCCATCGTAGACAGTCATGACTCACAGAGGATATACTTGATTTATATTACAGTTAAGTGTGAAAAATCGCATATTAAGCCTTTAAAAATTCAGATTTAGCATGACTTAACTTTACATTTAAAAGGGAAATAAACACGCTGTCAAACGGTATAAGATTTATTGCCAAGAAACATTGTTACAACAAGATATAATCTACCAAACAAAAATTGCCTTACTTTTTATTATATATAGATATATATATATATCTATATATCATTTATATTTGTATAGAAATGTAGTGGGATTGTTCTGATGATATGAATAGACAGTATATATGTAGTGTGATTGTTCTGATTTATTTATCTTTTTCTCTGTCAGATGTCTGTGAACTGGAAGTGGACACAAACACACTGAGCAGAAACCTCACACTGTCTGCTGACAAAAGGACGGTGACATATATGGAGGAGGATCTACCTTATCCTGATCATCTGAACAGATTTAAATCTCTTCAGGCGTTGTGTACAAACACTTTAACAGGTCGCTGTTACTGGGAGGTTGAGTGTACAGGAAAGGTTAATGTATCAGTGGCTTACAGAAGAAAGAACAACAGAGGAGTAATTGACTTAGAGTTTGGGGATTGTGATCAGTCCTGGAGTCTGAGAAGATGTAGACATGGTGGTTATAAAGTCTGTCACAATGGTGTTGGAACATACATCTCACACTCCTGTTCCTCAGAAAGAGTAGCAGTGTACTTGGACCATCCTGGTGGCACTTTGTCCTTTTACATAGTCGATGATGGCACGCTGGTGCACCTCCGCACATTCAAAACCACATTCACTGAACCTCTTTATGCTGGGTTTGCTTTCCAGAACAGATATTATAGTTCATCAGTGTCTCTGTGCTCTCTGTAGGTCTAAGAGTCTCAGACATTCTGCTGACTGACAGTAAACTCTCCTTCACACACACTCTGCAATGTAATGACCATCTGACTCAGACACACATTTAATTCATAACTCAATGTTTTCCTGTCTGTTTAAACAATCCTCCATCTGCTGTCTTTCAACAGTCAAATGCATCGAGAATCTTTGGTGTAGAAAATTAGGGGTGTCTCCGACTAAGGATTTAAATCATTGAACCTACAGCAGCTACAATCTATGCATCTTACAGCAGACAAAGAAACACAGATTTTTACCATCTTCTGAATTACTATTTGAAAATGAACTATACCCACTCTTACTATTCTAATGCAAACAGTCCTGTTGCATCAGAAAGAGTCTGCATGAAACCAATCCAGTGAAAGATTAAATCCAAACACATTACATCCAAGATCTACGGGTTGCTTTAAATTTGCCCCTCCCCCCGTTCCTGATTTTCCCACTGTATTTATGTAATAATTGATCTTTATCAATCAATCAATCAATCAATTTTTATTTGTATAGCGTCAACTCATAACAAGTGTTATCTTGAGACACTTTACAAAAAGCAGGTAAAATACCTTACTCTTTGTCTTTTAACATTACAAAAGAGCAGGTGAAAAGACCATACTCATTGTTATGTTATAAAAAGCAGGTATAAGACCTTACTTATTGCTATATTACAAAGACCCGGCCTATCCATCATGAGCACTTTAGCAAAGCAGCAAAAGTTACAGTGGTAAGAAAAAACTGCCTTATTAAAAGGCAGAAATCTTCGGCTAGATCCCCGGCTCATGATGAAACAGCCTTCACAGACCTAGACTGCGCCGGGCTTGGAAGGGGATAAGGGGAGAGATGGGATAAAATGCAGGAAGAGGGACAGGGAGCAAGGGGGTGGGGGGAGGCAAGCCGTTCATCAACAATCCGGTGGGGAGGGGGGTTGTTCTGGCAAGCCATCCATCAACAATCCGGTGGGGGGGGGTTGTTCTGGCAGGCCGTCAACCAACGATCTCAAGGAGCCTGAGAGCTCAAGAGATTTACAGATAGATACATTCAGTAATATGATGTACTGTATATGCAGAGAGAGAGAGAGAGAGAGAGAGAGAGAGAGAGACCAGTTCCCCCGGTAGTCTAAGCCTATAGCAGCATAACTAGGAGCTGGTCTACACCAGCACCAGCCCTAACTTATAAGATTTATTAAAAAGGAAAGTTTTAAGTCTATTCTTAAAAAATACAGACTGTGTCTGCCTCCCGGACCCCGGCTGGAAGATGATTCCAGAGGAGAGGAGCCTGATAACTGAAGGCTTTACCTTCCATAGTACATTTAGAGACTGTAGGTACCACTAGCAGGCCTGCATTCTGGGACCGTAATCTTCTCGAAGGGTGGTACGGCACGTCCCAACTGGCGTAGTCGGGAGTCATTAGTGCCGACATGAATTACGATTGTATCCAATCTACATTTAGTCTTTGTCAGCAACTTTAAATGAGATGCGCCCGCTCTGGCCCCGGGTATACACCTAACTATGCCCGCTGACTTCGCTAGCTTCACGTTTTGGACTATGGAGTCTCCAATAATCAGAGTTTTATTCTCAGCCGGTGTGTCGCTGAGTGGGGAAAATTTGTTTGAAACGTGAAGTGGTTGGTGGGGAACCGTGTGCTTCGATTTTCGACTATGCTTCCCTCGGACAGTAACCCAGCCACCACCTCCCAGCTGCTCGGGAGCTACCGGGGAGGAAGCCAAGCTATGTCGGCCCGCACCGGCTACAGGTGGCTGGCTAACTACTGCTGCATACGATGGCTCTGACTCAGTGGTGCGGAGCCATCTTTCTAACTCAGACACCCTCGCCTCCAAAGCTAAAATTAAACTAAATTTCTTACATGTATCATTATCACTAAAGGAGGACGAGCAGTAACTTAACATCTGACACGTAGAGCAGGAGAGAGCAGGAAGAGGGAGAGACAGAAAACGAAGCCATTGTAAATAAAGCTAACTGCAAAGCTAAGCTAAGAGTAGGTAGCTAAAATAAACAAAATTGTTAAGCAGGTTTGTCGCTAGAGAGAAAGAGTGCTTTTCGATTACTTCTGTCTGTCTGAACGTACAGTGTGTTGGAAACAACAGTCATAAGAAACTAGGCAAAATTAACAATTAAGCTTTTAGCTCTAACGATCAGCACTGAACAACACAATACAGCGGAGAACAGGAAATGATGCAATACGCTCACACGTAGTACGTAGCACGTAGAATACATTCTGTTGACTGCAATAAATTAAAAAGGCATCTGTCCTCCTTTACCGTGTTGGGCCAATATTGACCTCCCATTCCCTGTTTCCAGCCTAAATTAACCAATGAGAGCTCAGAGGAAGTGCCTGCCACTGTTCTTATGTATCTATACTAGAGGTCAGATTCTCTGCCCGAAGCTGGGTCAGGCGAGACAAACTTTTCATGTGTTGTCCCACTGTCTCATTTTATGACATCTTCTTTTCATGTTTGACCCTCTTTCCTTGTACTTTGTTCAACCTTTGTTGTTTTTAAATTTTTGATATAAATAAAGTTGACTAGATGTGGTTCTGAACATCACATACTTCTTCAGCGTTCAGCCCAAAGCTTCGTGCCTATCATCGGCTCACAGCCGTGCTGATATTCACTTTGACATCACAACCTTTAGTGTGGTATTGTTTTAATGATTTTTATTTCCATTTTCATAAAAAGCACAGCACAAATGTTTTTCAAAGAACCTGTTTGACTTCTGTTAACTTTAATCACAATACAATGTCATCAATACTCATCCAATAAAGTCTTTAAACATCCACTAAGACAGTAACAAGTCCTTTTCTCTGTGTAATTAAAGATGACTCATCAGAGTTAAAGCGCTTCAAATATCTGTAATCTGTAGTTAATTTTAACAGTAAATGAACTTGATCTTGTATATATCTTTTCTAGTCTTCTGACTGTTGAAGCAGGAGGAATTTGTGGTTAAGTGTCTTACCCAAGGACACGTCAGACATGTGGCTGCAGGAGCTGGGGATCGAACTTCAGACTTTCTGGCCCCGAGACTAACACTAGTAAAACCAATGCCATTAAAAGCACAACAACCACAGCACATACTGATGATGCTTACACTAACACAACCCAACCAATACCGACACCACATGTTCTAATGTTACACCCATGTGCAGTGTACTGTAAGGGGAGAAATAAAGATGAAGGAAACAAACACAGTGTTGCTGGCTTTCATTCAATGGTACAATGAATAATTTGCAATAATACACATTTTCTTTGTTCACAATTGTACACTTAGACGAACATACATGCACTGGTTAACACCTTTACATCTGTGATATAACAGGCCAGCATTTCTCAATGCTGTATAATCTACTGCTTGTTTTATGTTAAAACATTTTAATCTTGCTCAGACAACATGCTCCCCCTGCTGGCCTACTGGTTTTGTTAGGCTTTTATTTTGAATGTTTGTAATGTGTTGAGGTGAGGGTACCTTACTTCCTGTTTGAATAAAAACATACATGTATTTGGGAAGAAATAAGATAAAGTCATTAAAGGAGCTCAGCTCTACAGTCCTAGTTTTAATACATCCCCATAAAGCCATGAATCAGATTTGATACACTTTTTTTTAGACATCTGCATCCGAAATGAAATCTTTTTTTTCTAAACAATCTGATAAATACAACCAGATTCATGCAGGTACATAATGTACCTGCTCCCAGGAACTTTTTTAAAAATTGGATAGGACAGCTGAAGAGAGACAGGAAATGTTACGAGGAGAGAGTCGTAGGATGACATGCAGCAAAGGGTCGAGGTCGGATTTGAACCCTGAAGCTGATGTGTCAGATATAATACAAAACAAAACTCCAACATGCAGCATGTTAGTTCATTTCTTCTTCTTTTTTTATCGTTTTTTAAAGGGGTCCACTAATGACTTTAAAGCGTTTACAATATGTTGCATTCATTGTCAAACAAAAAAACAAAAAAGTAAATCTACAATCCAAACAGGGTAATTTTTTTCCTTCAATCTGAAGTTCTGAGAATGAGAGGTTGATAATTAATCTAAAATCATTTTCAACTCTTTTTATTCCAGTCTGGTCACGAAAAGGTCTCTTCAACTCTGTGTGGATCCAAACATGCCCTGGGTTAAGAGCATCATGAGGAGTTTGGACAAGGAGTCCTTTTAATCCAACTCCCTGTCGGTCCATGCACTATAACAGCATGTCCATATATGGTCGTTATGTTTGTATTAATGTGAAAATCTACTTAAATCGAGAAGAACCTATTAAACCATGAATATTCTTATAAACCAACTTATTATTATCCTTTGTCTTTATAATAATCTTAAAATGTTTTTTTAACACAACTTTTTAAGCAACTTCTGAATAAAATAATCACTCTTCATTGCTCTGTTGTTTGTTCTTTTCTCGGACACTTTCACATGGTAAGGCTGGCTGCTTTCTTAACCGCCTATGAAACTCATAGTACGTACTGATTCAGCTCAAATGTAGTATGCAGGATGCGAACAAGTCTGAGATTGGCAGTGTGCTAAAAATACCTGGATATTGTACTGACATGCTTTTCAACAAACGTCATGTTGATTCCAATCGAAGCAAGTACAAAAAATGCAGACACGCCCTGGATTGTGTCCCAGGTATCATTAAAACAGCAGGACTGACGGGGAACTGCATCTTTTCTCCCAGAGTTCGATCGACACACTGAAGTGCAAACTGTCCTTAAGTCGACCTGAAGCGACTTCAGGTAAGACTCTGTGAATGTTTAATGAACAGGATCACTTTTAGCACATTGTGTCTGATTGTTTACAAAAAAATTGCCACAGGTCAGACCATTCTGAAGTCACGTTGCTCCTTTATTAGATTTGAACTTTAGCTTCAGATCAGATTCATAAGGGTTAGGGGTAAACTTGCCCACTCACTCTTTTCACGCCGTTATCAGCCGCAACATGATACAATGTTTGCCTCACACACACAAATAC